TTGACTGCTTGAGCAGCTTTTGCTGACACTGTGGTGTTGCCTGCAATGTGCCTCACTGCATATTTGTTATAATGATGTCTGGAAAGGTTTGTATGTACAGCTGGCTTGAATAAATACCTGAAACAGCTGACACCAAGCAGCTTAAGTGCTGCTTAATGGGTACACATGTGGGTTCAGGCTAGCAGAGCGTGGTGGGGCCTGATGCTGTCTACTGTGCACTCAGTGTTACTAGTCCAGTTCAGTCTGTGAATACTGAAAAGGCCACTGGTGGGTGCAGTATTATTAAAATCAGGCCCCTACCTACCTCATTGAAATGCCTGGCAGGTCAAGTCTAGTAAGTCAGATGGAAAAATAAATATTAAATCCATCCTTCTCTCAAGTTTTAGACAAAGACAGTTACAGGATTGATGCTCTCAAGAAATAGTCTGAGCATTGTAATGCAGTGACACAAGAATTTAAATTCCACAGTCTGTGTCCACCATACATGTCAGAAATAGCAGGGTATCACTGCTCAGCTCTTTCAGAGGGTCTGGCCTCTCCCTCCTTTGAGAAGGGTTTTACACCGTGTAGCTGAGACTTGCTGCAGAAAGGCCTGTGCAGAGTGACTCAGTGGCATGTTAGCACAAAAGTGCACAGCACAAACACTGTTGCCATCTTACTTTAATTTAGTGTGGTCCAACAGATGGCCAGAAAGTCAGATCTGGCCTGCTGCCTTTTTTCTGGCTGAGATGGAGAGCAACTGTTCAAACAGCAGATGCTGCCTGAACACTGAAATCTCCTTGTCCCCCTTATGTAGGGGTGCAGGTACCAAGTGGCTTTGCTCTGTAGGAGCCCCTCTAAATTCCGCTACTGCACTTTCTCTTCTGTTGTGACCTAACAGGTACAGTGCTTGGCTCTCTGTTTCAAGAGAGTTTGTTTATGGTGTTGAGAGAGGAACACGAATCCCAGGTTGCTCTGCCTTGTGCCTGCATTTAGATTGCCTGGTTACCTTTGCTAGGTAAACAGAACTGGTTTGTATGAACTGAAATTCACTTTTACCCCTAATGTTACTCCTAGGGCTCAACGTATTGATGAAGTATAGCCAAAGATGAAAGTCAAAGCATAGTGCATTATTTTTGTCAATTAAATTACATATTACTGATGATGACTTTATTTTTTCTCAGTGCTCCATTCCAGCAGTCTGGGTTTTGAGAACTTGATCTTTCAGGCCCTTTCAAGCCTGTTGTATGATTCTGTTTTCTCTTTGTTTATTAGGGTGGGTAGCTAAAATGTAGGGGTAGTTTCATTTTTGTTCCTTCTGTGTTCTTGGAGATTCTTGTGTATCATAGTTTTAGTTGCAGTGGCATCATGGAAGACTTATAAATAAAATAATCCATTAGACTAAAATCAACATAGAAGCTTTTCTGTTGATCAGATATCTAAGTTTGCTCTTGCTGAAGTTTCAGTTTAAATTCAACTCCTCTTCTGAAGTCTGCTTTTCAAAGATGTCTGTAACATGTCCTTTATCAGCATGTGAATGAATGTGCAGAAGCATTACAATGTTGGATTTGCAGAAGAGTCTTTTCCTTTGCCTTATAGCCAGAAGTTAAAAGAGAAAAAACTGCAAGCTAAGAAAAATAAACTTGAGCAAAAGAAGCAAGAAAAAGGTCAGTGACATTTAGTTTTCTTTTCTGAAGACTTAGTTCTGTTCCCTAATTGAAGCCTTAGAAGGGTTTGTTCTACCCCTGCCCCAAGCATTCTCGATAGGTGGATAAGAAAACTGGGCCATAAACTTGTTATTTTAGCTGATATTTCAAAGGTCTTCTTTGAAAGCCATCTATGTTGAGATTTAATCTTACAAATAACTCGTCTGCTTGTGAATATTTTCCCTTTATTAGGGGAAACTTTGGACAGCAAACCTTGGAATCTGAGTTTGTTGAATGTGGATTTTGTTTTGTGGATGTTCTGCCCCAGCTATTCTGACAAGCTGCAGATTTAGAACATCATCTGCTAAAAAAGGCACTATTGTTAAAGGCTTTTTTTTTAAGTATATTTTGAATGCATATGGGAAAACGGGTGGGAAAATGCACAACTTGGGCAGCAGGAAGCTGAGTTCTGATTTTGTGTGCAAGAAACTGAGCCACCTTGGTGCCATCTGTTCCACGTGACTTATTTCACATAGGAATAAACATGAAAAACCTGATTGCCTCCATTCTCCTGCAGTCTTGAAAACTAATGTTCAGCCATGTCAGTGTAACTGTTTGCTCAAACTTTTCAGTACTTGTTGCTTCCTTCCAGTCAGTATATTTTAGCTTGCACCTTCAAATAGTCATCCCTCGTGGATTAGCACTAACCCTGCAGTAATTCTTAAAGTTATAGCACTTGCTGGTAATTCTGCTGGAACAGTGACTTGTCTGACAATTCTGCCTTATTTCTGCTTTGCTTTTCGGAATTGGACCTGTTTCAATCCAACCACTGCCAGCCTCCCATATAAACATGGGAGGACAAATTAATCATTAGGTTAATTTTACTTGGGACAGCAAGGGAATGTAGCACAGTGCATTGTTTGGGTGTGTTGTTTCGGTTCTGGGTTTTTTTTTTCAGCTACTTGTTGATGAACTGTGACTGGGAGGAGAATTTAGGTATGAATCAATGTACTTTTGTTCACTTTGAGTGAGCAAAACAAAATACTCCTCTCTTTAGGGAGTGGTGGAGAAGGGAGCTGGCTCAGGGGCTGCCATGTGGTTTTGAGTGCCGTGGGCTGGAGTGGTTTTGCTTGGCAAAAGCCAGTCATCCCTGGAAGCCAGAATCCAAACTCTCCTGTCTTTAAAACAGTTCTTAGCTCTTTACAGTTTGTGGTTCTCTGTTTGAAAAAGAACTGAGGGAGGTGGGGAATAATCAGTGGAGATTGAAGCCCCTAAAAGCCATCTTTAGTCTACTGAGAACAGGCTTGCCTTTTTCTTGCACATCCTGGGTTGAAATCTTGAGTTTTCCCAAGTTAATTGAAGTATATTGGTTGGATTTGGCAGGCAAGCATTGATTTTTTTTCTTTTTAAATGAATAAATAAAACCTCTGAGTTGCCATCTTTCACCTTTGTTGTAGTAAAACCATTAAGAATCAAGGTTGGCACTAGATATGATCAGCTGTTAAAAGGTGCATTAGGCCAATAAAAAATGGAAGTACAGACCTTCACCACGCGGTGGCATCAGATCACTGATCCTAAATCCTCCGTGTAAGTGGTCAGAGCAGGAGCTGGGTGTGACTTGGCCTGAGAAACAGTAAAGATGCAAGAGCTGCTGGGAGCAGAGAATGGCTGTTAGAGTCAGGTCCCACTTTATGCTGTACCTAATTTCCATTATCTGTTAATTAAATTCTAGTAGTTGTTTTCTGGTCTTCTAGCAGGCTTCATGAGTGTCATAGAATCATATCATAGAATGGGCTGGGTTGGAAGGGACCTTTGAAGCTCAACCAGTTCCACCCCCCTGCCATGGGCAGGGACACCTTTCACTAGAGCAGCTTGTTCCATGTCCCACCCCACCTGGCCTCCTGTTTCTTGTAGCCCTCATTAATCTTACCCATGTCTTAACGAGTTCCTGTTCTTGTGTTATAAAACCCAGTCTGTAAAGTTAATGGCACCTTGTGGAGCTTCTGTAAACTTGTAAAGTGTAGAAATACCCTGAGCCTTGCCCATGGCTCCCCGGTGCCTGCAGTCTCTATCAGTACTCTGATACTGGGAAGTTCATGCTGACACACAGGTGAGGTTGGGAGTGAGGCAGTCTATCACTTCAGCATTTGACTGCCTCTGAAATAACATACCATGGGAGGTGGAGTTGTTAATGGTGGACTTGGCACAGTGGTAACACTGGAGGTAGGGGAATATATCTCCAAGGGAGAATTTGATATTCTGAGCTCTGCGTCGCTTGGTAGTTAGTATAACCTGATACGTGTTTCCTTAGTATCTGGGACTACTTTGTTGTGAGATATGTAACAAGGAAGACACATGGGAATATGTTACCCATCCCTGCTAATTAATGTGACCTCATACACGTTTGCTGAGCACCTGAGATTATTTTGTTGTGAAATCCTTAACAAGGAAGACACACGGGAATATGTTATCAATACAAACTTGTGTTTTCAGAACCTGACCAATCTCAAGAGCAAGCCAGCAGCGAGGATGATGAGGAGGATAGCAAGGAGGAGGAAGAGAAGGAAGATGATGCTGAAGAGCCAAGCTTTGTGATGGGAAGAGGATGAGGCCTTTCAGGGACAGCTGGAAACACTGTTCATCGCTTTATATTCAGGAGCATGAAAGTCTTTCATCTCAGCCAAGCAGAACCCATTGGCCTACATTGTATCTGCTTCATGGTGAATGACTTCACATCACAGGCCCAAGAGATATCGATAGAGAAATGCCAAATAAGAGATTCTTTTCTTAATTGCTTGTATAACTGCTGTGCAGTCTGCTCAAAGTTTGCTCTAAAGAGTCAGCCATAAGTCTCTGCGACCCTAGAGTTCTTTCTAACATGGCCCAGAGTGGTTTTTCGGTCTAAAAGCTAAAACATATCCATTACCACTTAAGGAAAATATTACTGTGAGGGCTACGTATTCTACTTATGTTGAAGGTGGTAGCAGTGGGATATGTGAATCTAAGGGAAGAGTTTAACCTAAAGTAGAAAAGTGGTCTGTAGCCAGACCCTGCTGCACTGTGAGTGTTGTGAATTTGGGGTTTTGTATGGGGTCATCTCTAACCCAAAGAAATCAGTTTATGTTGCTAGACAAGTTCTATAGATTTTTAAGCAGGATCCCTTTTTTATGGCTAAAACTTTCCCTACTGCTTTTCTTCCCTGTTTTTTTAAATGAATAAAGGGGATGTGTTGGATTGTTCTTTTTTTGTTGTTGTTGTTTTGTTTTTGAAGAGGATTTCAGTAAAATAGAGATGCTTGCAGTGCTGAGTGATGTGGCACACATGAAAATGAGGGAAAAGGTGTCAGCTGCATTTCATTTCCTTTTTGCTTTTGGATTGGAACAATATATTTTCCCAAAAGATTACATCTGTAAAGCCTCCAAATCCTGTGGCAGAAAGGCTTGGAAAGGAATGGTTTTGCTTGTGTTTAGCTTCACATAATGATGCCTGCCTTGCTCTCTGCTTTGAACTTTGGGTTCCCTGGTAGGAATCCTCACATCCATGTGTATGTATATACTTATTGGTGCTTAAATGAAAAGCATATGCATCAGTGGTTTTATTTGTAACTTGTGTTCCTGTCTTTTCAGTGTATCTTCTATTAGAAGTGCCTGCTCTCTTTCAGACATGCTCGTCCCAGGACCTCGGCATCCAGAATGTGGTGCTACTTCTCCTCAAGCCTTTGTCAATGCCAAATTATTTCAAGCAAAAAAAAAAAACCATAAAAAGGGAGAATCTCTTTTTAGATTTAGCCTGTGTTGAACAGTGCTGCCAGAAATCCTGCATGTTTTCTGAGCTGGCTTTATGCAATGGCTTCTCAGTGGTACTACCGTAGCAGCGGGGAAGCAGATGTCATCAAGTGCAAGCAGTGTTTTGTGTTTTGATCTCCTGTAAGTACCCAAAGACTTCAGAGCTGGGTAACTTCTGAGCTGCAAGGCGCATATCCCACCACTCCTTGAGTTAGAGATCAGCGTGGAACTGTTTTCTGCTTTATCTCCATAGAGGAAAGTGCTTCAGAGTAAGTTGTGACAGTGCTTTCTTCTCTGATACTTCAGATGCAGAATGGATGCTCTGCTGTTGGCATTTTCCCTGTGGAGAGATGAGCTATGAGAATTACTTCACCTGGATCCCCTTTAGGGCAGGTGAACTCTGTTGATTCTTTGGTGTTGTAGGATGAGCTGTAAAATCGTTGTCATGTTTTGTAGCTTTCGTGGATGGAGAAGTGGGAGTTTCACAAATAAAGACTGTTCTGCCTCTGAGCGTGTCAGGCTTTCGAGCTGAATAATTAAGTGCTGTTTTGCATTAAGTAGAGCATACATTGCTGCATGAGGACACAGTTCTCAGTCACGAGGAAGATGGACTGAAGCTTTTCTTGTTGAACTAAATGTATTCAGGTTGTGTGGCCTCATCCTGCCGCCTTAAGATGCCATTGTTACCCATCTTCAAGTATTCATACCCTTCATTTTCTAGGGATGCCACATTTGTAGGTGAAATCCATAAAAAGCAAAGAGAATGTGTTGCTGAAGGTGGTATCTGCTGTACGGTCTTTCCTGCTGGGGTGGCTGAGTGTAGCAGCAGGAGCTGCATTTGGTAGGTGTTGCTATGAGTTCTGGAAATTACTACTCTGTTGTGGTTCGTGTCAGTGCCACATCTCTTGAGAGTACAAAGGCACTTAGAGAGTTTGAAGGGCTGGTTTGTAGCTAAGACAAAATACAAGTACTCTGTGGCCTCAAACTGAGGAGTAGGAAAAGGGAGGTGCTCCCCTAAGTAGTAAAATGAGGAACAACTCTACACTTGCTTCCTATTCCAAATACAGCACTGCAAAAGCATTCATAACTTAAAGGGTTGAAACTGCCAAGGAGTTTGATCTGCTTACGTTAAAATTATTGCTCTGGATTCTCTCCTAGAGGAGTGCCTCTCCTTTCTCTGATGGAGACTAATTGCCAGGGACTAAAGTCTGCTGCTGTTCCATTTCTGTGTGTGCTCTTGCAAGCTCAGGACCCTGAGAGACAGCATTGTTAGTGCTGGAACCAGGCAGAGGTATTCGTAATCTCAGAGGTGAAAAGCCCACTCAGGGTAACAAATGTACTTGTCTCTGTGATAAGTGTTTAGGAACAGTTTGCCTTTGTCTTTTCTCCTCCCCAAGGCAGAGGGCGTTCAGGGAGATAGGATTATGATGTGGTAAAAGCCTTTTGGCATTTCCTTTATCTCATTTTCAGGGAAAGAGCTCCTTCCTCTTTCCCCATCAGCCTTTTGATGGGTTCATACAGGATTTCCCGATGAGTCTGTGCAGGAGGGATGTGGGGACACTGCAGCCTGCCCCTGTACCCCTTTGAGCAGGGGGTTCTGCCCGTGCTTCACCCGGTGGGGGCACAACCCAGCACTGCCTTTTGACTTATGTGAGTGGAGACTTTTTGCTGTATCATTAATAACCGTAATAAAATCACATTTACATCCCATTGCCTGGGGACATTCTCTGTGGGAATACCTAGAGCCAAGAGGTCCAGACCGAGTAACGTTTTTTAGCATGGGGGCTCCACGAAGCTCGGCATCCCCGCACTGACTGTTTTCTCCTGCAGATACGCGTTCAGAGGGAGCATGCGGACCCCATCCCGCTGCCGGATCAGCCCCGTGGCGCCGGGGGACATCCCGGGATGCGCTTCCCGTGCCACCCATAGGTACCTCCATCCCCGCTCCATCCCCACTCGGCGCTGCGCTGCGGGAGCCGCAGCGCGGGAAACGCCCTTTTAGCCCCGCCCCTCCCGTCCAGGGGACCAATGAGGTGGCTGTCACATGAGGTGGGCGGAGCGAAGCTCCCGCACCCTCCCGCCTCCTATTTCCTGTGTGGTCACGTGGCGGTGCGCGGCGTTGCCGTGGCAGCGGTGGAGGCGGCTCCGGCTCGCGGGTGCTCCCGGGGCGCCGCGTCCAGCCCGGCCCGGCCCAGGGCAGCCAGCGGTGAGCCGGGGTCAAGGCCTGCCCGGGCCCTGGCCGGGGTGGGGGGGGGGTGTGGGTGTCGTGTCCCGGCCCTAATGCCCTGCCCCGGGGGTGGTGGGGGTGTGGGCAGCCGGCAGGGACGGGGGTCCCGTCCCGTCCCATCCCGCCCCGCGGTGTTCTGGAGCTCCCTTGGGATGCTCAGCGCAGGCCGGCTCTCCGGGGTCGCGTCCTGACAAAGGGATCCACGGCTCGCGGTGCTGTAAGGGAAACACCGCCAGCCTAAGGTGCGGGGCAACCTCGGGGGGGGGGGGGGGGTGTCCCATTCTGCCTGCGGAGATGGGGGGATCCGTGGGATGCCGGACACGGAGCTGGTGGTAGGAGGTTTTATCCTGCATAGAGAGGATCCCCCGTCCACAGTGTCTTTGGAGGGGAGGGTGCTGGCTGTGGGGGTCTCGTCCTGGCCTGGGGATCCCCTGTCTGAGGGTGCTGTTGGAGGAGAGATCCTTGCTGCGTGTGGTCACCTCCTGCCTGGGGTGTGCTGAGGGTGCCTGGGGAGGAGGAGGAGGAGAAATCCCCTGCTCATTTGATGCCCTGTGAGCAGGATCGCTGCCGTGGTGGTGGGGCGAGGGGTCACATCCTGCTCGGGAGGTGATCCCCTGCTATAAACTGCGGGGTGTTCACACCCTGCCTTGGTGGTGACATCCCGGGGAGGGGATCCCATGCCAAATGAGAATATGGGAAGGGATTCCCCGTAGTGAAGAGGGCTGGAGCTTGGGGGGGGGGGGAGGCAGTGTAGCAGAGAAATAAGGAGTAGTGGGGCCTGGGGTTAGTTACAATATGTGGGGCCTTGAATGATGCTGTACAGAGGCGGAAGACACTGGTACAAACACTGATGAGTCTGAGGGGGAGGCTGGCATCCCAAAGCCAGGCAGAGAAGCTGACAGTGCTGCTGAGACAGCGCTCTGCAGGCGATGGTTCAGAGCACGCCAGCAGCAGGAGGGGGATCCACAAATCTCAGCCCTGGCAGCATCTCCTTCATTCCCTGCTGTGAAGAAATCCCTGCACATGGGCTTGCAGCTGCACGGGGGCAGCTGAGGTGTAAGGCACAGCAAAGGCTTTCCCTGCGACACTGGATAAGTGATCCAAGTGGATATGAGGGATTGGGACCAAATGCATCAGATGTGTAACGCAAGCGAGTAAAGATGCATCTGGGATGGATGCAGAGCTGACTGTTAGGCTGAGGAAGAGGTCTCCAGGGGAAGTCCTGATTCACCCTCCAAAACTCAACAGCCCTGTGCGGTAAAACCCCATAGGATAGTTATTTCAGTAAGAGCAAGCATCCTAAAGCTTTAATGTTGCAAGGCAGGAGCATAAACTCTCTAGAGTAACTCCCCCTGATGCAGATAACTGGCTGGAAAGTATTTCTGGAGTAAAACTGCTTAATATACGGTGTGTGTAAAATGCTTCTTTGGTCTTGTGTTTCAGCCCTCGGAGCCCTCCACCCAGTCCCTCCATGTCTGTAGCCAGCAAGGTGAGTTTGCCATCCTGTTCCTGCTTGTTTGGGCTACATTTTTGTGTTGTGGATTTTCTTCTGAAGCTGTTTACTTACTTGGGAACAACTCTTGAGCTGCTCCAGAGTGAAAATTCATCCTTGTGGTATTTTTAGCTTATTTTTCTAAGGGAAGATGCAAGACGTGATTGGGTGCTCTTTCTCTCCCTCTGTAACCTCTGGATTCATTCGTCTTTTCAATGGCATTTGTCCCAAGGGTTGAAGTTTTCCTACATATAAAGTTTTGTGCAAATACAAACTGGGTAGAGACCATCGGTGTCCCAGCTAAGGACAAAGAGAATGAATGCACCCCATGCTATACATTGCAGAATCCACACAGGATATTGTCACAGGAAACAGCTTCATAGCTTTACTGCTCACAGAATGCTTCTACCTCTGATCCTCCCCAGGAGGCTGGGGGAGAGCTGCTGGCTTGGGTTTTTGCCTTCTGTAAAATAAGCTGGAATCTAAAAGCCCCTCATGCTTTGGAGGGACTGTCTTGCTTCCCGCAATGCTTTTAGTTGCTGTGCTGCAGTCTAATCTTTGTTATTGTGCCTGGGACAGTTTTGTTCCTTTTTAGTAATAATATTTACAGTTGTGGGTAGTTGATGTCCCTTTCATCTTCACCACTTCCTCAAATCTCACAGCAAACATGGGTTTATTAGCTGGCAGCATGTGGCGCATGGCTGTGGAGAGCTGGGGGATGCGGGCAGGTCTGGGGCTCCTCTCCAGGAAGCAGCAAGGTGCCTGTGACCTTGAGGTGTGGTGCTGGGACTAATTAGTACCACACCGTGTGTCATTCTGGGCCTGCATGTCCTCCTCCTAGGAGCTGGTGAGTATTTACAGCCAGAAGGATCTCCTGTGGTGCAGCTCTGCTGTTGCTCCCTGCCTCTGCCATGGTGTTTGGTGGCTGAATTGTGAGGGTGGGGATTAACCAAGGCATCGTGGTTTCCATTCTTTGGAAAGCCCAGGTAAATATCTGGTTTCAGAGGCTGATCAGAGTTGAGGGAGTTCTGCTCAACTGGTAGATCTGTTCTGCTGCTTTCTTACATCTGTCAGTGTAATCCCTTGAATAAGATGCTGAAACTACCTGGAAAGCTTGGAATTGTCTTTTCCTTTCCCTGTGCTACGAGCCACCAGTGGAAGTGAGGGAACAGGATTCTCAGTCAGATGGTGTGAGCAGTTCAGGAAATGTAACTTCCCACTCCGGAAGCTTTATTAACCCTATGCAGCATTCAGCTCTGTGGCTGTTGGGGAAGAACTGTGTCCATCTAAACTGAGCTATGATGAGCAATGGTTTAACTGGAAAAAAAACTCTGTGGAATTAACTATCAACTTAAAATCAGAAGATGGAGCCTCCACTTCCAGAGTGTCTTTATATAAACCAGATTCTTTATGAGCAAGGAGGAATTAAAGGGGAGAGGTGAGATGCCAGTTTGGAAATGGGAAGCCAGATGCTGTGCTGCCTTCCTGACCTCCTGCTGGAGTAGTTCCCGGCTTTAGTTGTGTAGTCTTTCCTAGTTCCCATGGTCATTTTTAGTAGTTATGGATGGTCCTTTCCCTGGTCTGTGCCTTGCAAACTTGATGGTATTTGGTCCATCATTTTTCTGCTGACCAAGGGCACCTTTGTTTAACGTAGCTTTTCGAGTAGTTCATGCTGGTCCTGCCCACTGCCTCCTTTTGAACATGACCATTTTGTTCCCTCAGCATTTCTCCCATCATGAGTTCTGAACTAAACGTTCCAGTGGATCCTTCCACTCCTGCTTGCTGCTCTGAACCTGGCACAAAAGGCATGGATTATCGGGACTGGGTCCGGCGCAGCTACCTGGAATTGGTCACATCAAACCACCACTCCGTTCAAGCTCTTTCCTGGAGAAAACTGTACCTGAGCCGAGCCAAACTGAAAGCTTCCAGCAGAACCTCTGCTCTGCTCTCTGGATTTGCAATGGTATGTGTACTTGGTAGCAACACTTTCTGGATCATGAAGGTTTTGGTTCTTTAAAATCATCTATTCATGGGTGCTTTTTCCTCCTGTGAAGAAACAGGACACACTGGTGGTTTCTGAAGAGGCAGGAGGCATCTGTCTGGGGGTTTCTGTGTGACTGCTGCAGAGAAGTTTGAGGCTATGTCTCTCAAGGCTGCATGAGCTGCCTAAGTCAACCCACACACTCCCAAGTCAGCCCTTTAAAAATACTAGTCCCTTACCTGCAACTGAGTGCTCCACCAGTGTTGCTAAACAATACAGGAGGTGGGTGCTCCTTTTTCCCTGAGGCCATTCATCACTGGCTGCCTTCACATGAGGTTACATTTGGGTGTGGAGCTCCTCTGGGCCCCTGTGGTTGCTGTGGTCCTGCATGTTATCTTAATTTCTATTGTCTTAATTCCTGTATGTTGTTTTTGCAGGTCATGGTGCCTAAAACAAGGTGGAGGTTGGGTCACAGTCTGCCAGAGCAAAGTTTGCATAGCCTGATTGGGGCAATTGTGTTATACTCTGAGGTGTGAGAAGAGGCCCTGCAGCCTCAAACCTCTGGCCTGGAGGGCTGGTATATTCTGTCAGCGCTGCCTATTGGGAATAATCCCTGATACTTGCTTTTCTCTGTGCAGCACTTGGGTGTTACCTGGAAGCTATTTGCGTATGTGCAGACCATGAAAGGGAATGAGCAAATGAACATGGAGACAGTGGTCCAGTGCTCAGGCCTGTCTGAGCTGTGGTGTTAGCAGAACATAGCTGTTCTGTGTTGGTATTCTGTGTCTGTGTGACTCCTTTTATCTCCCTTCTGGTTCTTGCTTATTGGGAGTGAGAATTGCAACCTGTTTAGGGGAGGTTTTCTGCTCAGGGAATGGTCTGGTTGTTCCTGAGGTCTGTCAGCTGAATGCAGAGGCAGAGGGCAGTGCCTGGGTGAGTGGGACGTGATGTGAAGATACTGCGTCCTGCAGCTCAGAAGCTAGAGGGGAAGACAGATCTCAGGAACTTTCCAGATAGCTCTCCTTGTTTTATTTTAGCTTCTTCCACTGCTTTTTCCTCCCTCAATCCCCCAGAACATGAATCATCTGTAACATTGCAAGAGCCTGGGATGACGAAGTTGGTCACCCAAAGTGAAGTTGGAGAGACTCAAGCAGGGAGTGAAGTGGGAGCAGACTGCAGGGGAGAGGGTGCCTGCTTGCCTCAGGATTCCTCTCTGCTCACTGACTGCATGCAAGTAATGTTGGTAAAAGCTTTCCACATGGTGGATGTTGGTCTGTAACCAAGCTCATGTGCTGGAATGGCAGAAGGTACCTCCTCATGTTGAGGAAGTTGCGTGGTTTTCTGTACATTCCTTTCACTCAGAAGCTTTCTCCCTTTAAAAAGCTGCTCATGTGCTTGCCCTTTGTGCCTCTGAGTTGCTCAAGTTCTGTGTTGGTCATTTGTGACTGTTCTCTTTAATGTGATTATTAAGTTAACATTTGGTATTGTTGTAAACTGATCTGTCTAGTGTGGTTGCACAAGCAGGTGCCTGTGCTGGGATGCTGCTGTTGGTGGCATCCTTGGGATGTGGGGGGGGCCTTACAGCTCACCCACACTGCAAGGCTGAACCATGTATCAGAACACAAAGCTGCCTTTTCAACTCATGCAACAGAGAGTTGCTGAAAGTCCTGGGCAGACACAAGATTAACCATTTGACTTCTCTTTAAACCATTTAAAATGCAAGTAGTACATAGGTATATGTAAATATAATATGTAAATAATGCAAGTAAACACAGAGGTATAAGTAGCATCAATTACAGTCATCAGCTTAAGTTCATAAGTACACCTGAAATCAGTCATTGTCAGAAATAAAAGGGTTTGCAATAAAGGATTCTCTTTATTAGCAAGCTTTTTTTCCCAGCTGGTCATACTGGACCTTCCAGTGGAAGCTGAGGTATTTGTTCCTACAGGGTTATTTCTCACTGGTAATTTGGCACGCAGGTATGCGGTACACGGATGTTTACTCTCTAATAAAAGCGCCTATGTGGCTATTGATGAAAGTAGAAAAGTTATTTAGAGTTAAATATGTGTAGATGTGGCACCTAGGGACATGGTTTAGTGGTAGATTTGGCAGTGCTGGGTTAACAGTCAGACTCGATCTTAAAGGTCTTTTCCAACCTAAATGATTCTATGAAACAGTTTCCCTGTGTGCATTTAACTATGTAAACAACTGTCACACAAGGGCTTGGCTATTGCTTTATTTACTTCCCCGTCAGTGTGTTTGATTCTGGCCAGTTCCATACTACCTGAAAAATATGAGCTGATGGATATTTAATCAACAGGCAGTGGCTTTGGTCCAGCTCCTTCTGGACAGGCTGCAGGATAACGTGAACCTTCCTCGATGCTATCTCCGGTATTTCTGGCAGAGAGCTGGGTGGATCAGGAAGACGTGGGTCCTTTCCAGCACCAGGTCTGGTTGGAGATGGGCTGTAGGGCTACTGCGTTTGCCCCAGGGAGACTGCAAGTGAAGATGGAGTTTAGGAAACCTCCTTAATAATTTTCCTGATGGAAATAAGAGCTGTAATTGCTAATCAGTGTTCTCAATACTTGTCAGATTGCTACAGGGTATGTATTTGGTATTTCTTTTTAAACCTAACCTATCTAATGGAGTGATTGTTTCTACAGGCTGCCAAACCATCTGTGTGAATGGAACATGGCTTATGTAAAGCCATTTGTCATCCTTTTGTCTGCTACTATCTATCCCAGTCTAAGTTTCTTGAGATGAGCATCATCTTTGTTGTGGACAACCTGGGCTCTACTGGTCCAAAAACCCCAACGTAATTGCATGTAATTTAATTGCTGTTTAAAATGTTCTGAGTACTTGCTCCTTTAGCAAACCTGTGAGTGTGAAGTTCAAGAAGGTGATTCTTAAGCTTGAAATTAAGCCTGTGCTGAGATACTCTGTGGCTTATCAGAGTGCTCAGCACCTTGCAGAGTTGAGCCCTTGACACTTTGACTTCTGGGAAGAGGTTAAAATAGAAGGGGCTGTTATCACAGAAGAGTATAATTGTATCAAACATGACATTAATAGTTTAACAGGGCAAGCAGCATATTTAATGATTTTTAAATGGGTTATGTCAGCTTGTCCTCTTTCTCTTATCCAGGTCAGAGAATGACATGACGGTCTGTAGCGAGTAAAGCAATAAGAGCTCACTCACCTTTCCAATACCTGTTTGGGTTAAATGAATCATTTTTCTGCCTTGCTGCCCTATCTGGATTGTTGATGTTTTCCCCTGAAAAACCTCTTACTGAGCCATCAGTCAGTGTTAAAAATTCATCACGTTGCACAGCTGAAGCTAGCCCTAGGGAATAGGTTAAGTCTGGGAGGAAACATCCAATTAGCTGGAAAGCACTGCTCATGTGAAGGATAACAAGGAGAAATTGATATGTTGACATCAGCCAGGCTTTCAGTTTTAATATCAAGCCATAAATTGAACATGCAGGTACAATTCCTATTCAGCTTGCTGAATACTGTGTCTCTGGGTATTACAGCACCCAATAATGAACAATATACCTGCAGCTTTTCCTGCCTGATAGGGTGTGACTGACAAGCACAACACTGTACAAATCCTTTGTACAGAATAGTGCAGCAGAGAGTAAGTCTGATCTCCTCCTTCTCAAATCAATGTAAGGGGAACTACAAAGGGAATATATGCAAGGCAATGTGTAATGCCTTTTAATTAACTTGATCTTGCAATAGATAGCGAAGTTAATCCTGTGTTATTATTTTCTCTGCTATATGACAAGAACTACTGTAAACTGCAAACAGGAGCCTTTAAAAAACAACAAAAAAATTCCACCACCACCACCCATGTTCATAATCAGACCAAAAGACTGGGAATATCCAAGAACTGGCACTGTATTTGTGGCGTCTCTAATATCCTAAATAGTTGGTGTAGGTATAAAATCTGGGCTTGTAGAGCTTGACTGTTTGCCACCACAAACATACATGTTGTATCTTGGTTGCTATTAACTGTGTTCAGACTTGACTGGGATCCCCTTGTTCAGGCTGCTGATGGTTTCAAAGTAAAGGCAGGTAGGAAGGCAGCAGTCATACCAACATAGGCACTTCCTTCCATCCCCTTTAGTCTTTCTGGGGGCTACCTACAGGGAGAGCATGAGTGTACCCCTAATCTTCCAGTACTTAAATAATGCTAATAACAAGTAATGCCAGAGTGAGTAGTGCAGGTTGTCACACAGAGTCTGAAACAGATGCTCAGTGGTGGTCTCATGGGAAGCCTGGATAAAGTGATCTGCAAAATCTGTCTACCCTGCAGAATCAAGCTGTTGGCTTGGACTTCACCTTCTCCTGATGGTCTGGAGAGGTACTGCCCTGCGGCAGGTGTCCGAGCATTGGCTTCTCCTTCCCTTAACGCATACAGAATCAGAAGCATAGAATGGTTTGGGTTGAAAAGGACCTTAAGCTCATCCAGTTCCAACCCCCTGCCATGGGCAAGGACACCTTCCACTAGACCATCTGGCAAGCTGTGCCGTGCTGGAGCAGCAGGTTGTCTGGCATCACAGGAGGTTTTTCCTGCTGCCAGGCAAGTTGGTATCTGTGTGAATCATGAAGTGCAGCTGCAGGTCCAAACAAGACACTAGAGAGTTACCGGAGAGGAATGTTGGGTAGTCTTGTCCCTTGGTTTTGTGGCTTCTCTTAGCAAAACGTTTCTGCAGGCACTTCAGGGATGCCACACATTGAAATACTATTGTACTTCACAGGTAGGCTAAGTAACTTTACAAATTCCCATGCTAAAACAGTTAACAGGCCTGTAGTAGGACTCAAGTTCTGATCTCAGAAGAGCCCCCTGCTCTCTTGCACTTATTCTGCTTGTTAAACTTTGTTTGATTAAAGAAAAAGTAGACTGCTTTAGGGACTTTGCTAAGTGATAACTCTTGTTTTGAGAACACACGCCAGCCTGAGCTGTAGCTGTCCACTTCTGCGGAGTCTATCAGTCAGTTATTAGCTCTCAAGGGAGAAATCTGAGGTTATAAATAAGTTGTATCTGGACATATTTTGTAATAAAAATGAACATACGGTGTTCTGAGAATAGAAGGCAGCTATTTTAACTATGGACTCACTTAAACTGCCAAGTGCTTCCCATGGGGGGTAGTGAAACCTTGCTGGCCACTGGCCAGAAGAGCTGCTTGCTTTTGCTTTTCTTTACATGCCTGAAGTCGGAACTTCCTGCACCACAGCCTCGAGTGAGGAGCGGAAGGGGAACGTGTGATGGGCGGGTGGGCTAGTGGGCTGTCAGCTGCCTCCGAGCTCCGCTTGTTGTCTGATGAGTTCCTTCTGTTGCGTGCTTGGTTTGATGCAGTTCATATGGCTCCTGGTTGCAAGGAGAGAGATGTTATTCAGAAAGCTACAGCACAGAAACGTGCGTGTGAGCCTGCAGAAAGGCCAAGCCACAGAGCGCACGTACGTCTTCGTGGGAAACAGATGATCCATCCAGGCTGCCGTTCTAAAAAGCACTTGAGTGTGTACTTGACCTTAGGTGCTCTTCCTGAATAAAGATGCTTTCCTGGATGAGAGTCTTGAAAAGAGGAAGACCAGCAGCTGCTGACAAGCTCTTGTGTTCCTTTCCCCTCAGGTTGCCATGGTGGAGGTGCAGCTGGAGGTACAGTACAAGTACCCCCAGATGCTGCTGATCGCTTTCAGTGCCTGCACAACGGTGCTCGTGGCGGTTCATCTCTTCGCCCTTCTCATCAGCACCTGCATTCTGCCCAACGTGGAAGCAGTGAGCAACATCCACAACCTGAACTCCATCAGCGAGTCCCCACATGAGCGCATGCATCCCTACATCGAGCTGGCGTGGGGCTTCTCCACCGTGCTTGGGATCCTCCTTTTCCTCGCGGAAGTCGTGCTTCTGTGCTGGATAAAATTCCTGCCCGTGGGCTCCATCCTCAAAAACGAGACCACCAACGTGGAGAAGGCCGGCAGCCACGCGGGGTGGCAGTCAGCACTGGTCTCCACCATCATCATGGTCCCCGTGGGTCTGATTTTTGTCGTCTTCACCATTCACTTCTACCGCTCTTTGGTGCGGCACAAAACGGAGCGCCACAACCGGGAGATCGAAGAGCTTCACAAACTGAAAGTGCAGTTAGACGGGCATGACAGAGGCATGCAGGTAGTGTGACTGCAAGGCAGGGGCTGCTTCCAGCCAATCCTTCTGCTAAGGCTAAGAGCAAACTCCCTGTTTTGCTAGTTGGTGAGATGCACCCGTGATGGATTGTCTTGAGGCTTAACTATGTAAACGCTAATCGCCTGCCATCCATAGCTGTGGGTTCTAGGGCTGTTTCAGGTGCTGGGGTCTCTAGCCTGCTTCTGGTCCTACACTCTTGCATACTGAAGTCAACACTGCCATGGAGTTCAAGGCCAAAACTTAACCTTGGCTTAGGTAGCCAAAAAATCTGTCTTTTTTACCAATGCAATATTCTGTTGCCAAAAGTAAAACTGGGTCAGCTGTCCCAAAAGCCAGTGTGTGTGTAGGACCTGTCTCGTGTCAGAGCTCCCTGGCTGTCAGAGCAGCAGCAATTAGCCTGCGGCTCGTTTCTAGAGCTGAGCTGGTTAATGTGAGTATCTGCAGCTGGCATGAGGACATCCAGGAAAGCACAATAGAAACTGAGTGTTGATCACCTTTGTTCCAAAGCAAGTATTCCATAGGTACATAACCAGAAAGAAATCAGCCTTAGCTTTTATGTTCTTGTTATTCCTTACTCTGTTTTTACAGCTGGGGAGGCAGACTGAATTGCAGGAGGCTGGGTAGCTCTGTCATACTTTCTTCAGTAGCATCAATTCATTAGGTTCAATGAATGCCAAGGTCATGTGTTTTTTTTTCCCAGTAAGAGGCAAGAGTGCCCAGGGAAGGCTTACAGGTGGCTTAGTTTTAACAAGGACATCCTTAGAGCAGTGACAGGGAATTTAATGAGCCAGAACTTTGAAGGACTAGAAAAGCAAGTTCCAAGGAGGGTAAGGAGTGACAGCACATAGCATGCTGTAGAAACCCATCACTGTTGTCTTCATGTATGTATTGTTGCATTGTCTTTAGCCTGGGTTGCTGGAGAGAACAAGCCCCAGTCCTGGATATTTCATCAGCTGTTTGGGTTTTTATTTGTCAGCTGTAGCGTTTGTCTGTCAAAACCAAATGCTTCCCTTCTCCCTCCACCAAAGCAGGCAACTCCATGTGGAACCTGGAGCTGTACTGGCGAGTGTGATGGAGCTGGATCCAGCAGAAGAGCCGTGTGCCATTAAAGAGCTATCACGTTTCATTGATCTAACTTTGTTTTTCAGCAGCAGAGAAGAAGACAGTGGCACATCAGCGTTGCTTAGCACTGGAAGCTTGTAAATGCTGTGGCACCCTTGTGGGTGAAAACTTGTGTAAAAAATGATGTTATGGTTTATGGTAATTTAATGGAGGAAAAGGGGTGTTTTGCAGTCATCAGCTCTTTGAAGGGAAAGTAAGGCTCAAAGAAGCCTAAGCATGTTTTCTTGGCCCTGGTCCTGTGCTGGTTTCCTGCTCTGCACTCAAACACTGCAGTTCCAGAGCCTCCTAGGCCTTACACGTTTCTGATATCATTAAGGATGTTTGTAGTGTTCTGTTTAACCCTGCTCCCTTATTCCACTGGGATTTGGGAAATCTAATGACAGCGTATTACGTCAGCTTCCCAAAATGGGGAGAGTACACTCAAATCCCGGTGCAGCAGGGTGAGACTGTCCCTATATCCCCTCTGGCGAGGGCCTTGGGAACCCAACTCTGATCTCTCTTGTTTACATGTGAATTTGAGCATTGCTGAACAAGTTGCTTAGCACTGTGTCTGTTGGCTTTCATCTGTTGTTCTTGCCGCAGTTGCCATGTACCATATTGGCTGATGTGCAGCAAAGAAGATAGTCTTTGTGTGCTAAATGCCTACTCTGTACTTATGTGCATATGCAAAAAATGAGGAGTGTGCTCCGGGTAAGTGGGTGGCCATGGAATTCCTGCCATCTCCCCAGGAGTCTGCCCTCTCTCCCTCTTCTTTTTACCATAATAAAAACTAAAGGTTTATACAACAAAAAACAGAACTGAGTTTTCTGCCAATAGGCTCTTCCACCAACACAATTTCTGTTGTGAGGCCAGAGCCAGGCCAGACAGGATGAATCTTTCATCTGTACTTTGCACTCTCCTTTGCCATCAGTCATAATAGGGCTCTGTTTGCTGTGGAGCTCAAGAGGCTGTTAAGGAAAGGTTTCACAGTGTGCATGCGGTGCTGCAGCAGCAATGCAGCTCATTTGAAACAGCCAAATTGTTCATTTAATTCTTTGCTAATATAATAAATTTCAACAAATGGAGAAATGGAGCCAAAATTGTGCTTTGATTTCCTAGAATAACTTGGTGAGGCTTTGCTGGGATTGGATTCAAGATCAGGCTCAAGGCAGCGCATCTGTGACTGGAGTGGGATCGCTTTACTCCAGCAGGGATTCTGAGGTATGGTTTGAGATGGTGTCCCAAGGGCAAACACACTTAAAATAGAATAACCATGTGCTTTCCCATTTTTGCTTGCAGGTTTGTTTCTTGTGTCTCCCTGGGCACCAAGTTCTCCCTTCCATGAGAAGCCCACAGGACTGTTCTTGCTCTTTGACTCTGGTGTGTGGGATCTCTCTAGGTTACCCGTCACCTCTGTGCTCTAACTCCTCTCCTTCTTTCCCAGCAGCAGCATTTGCTTTTCTTGCTCCTGCCTCTCTTCCCCCAACAGACACTGCACTTGTCCAGGTGGGTGTTTCTGTGCTACAGTGCCAGAAAATCCTCCTTGCTGCTGCTGCCCCCGGGCTGTCAGCAGGATTCCCATCAGTCACGAATGAAGATGCCTGCCTTTCCACACCATCCCTGCTGTCCCAGCAGGGCTGGCAGCGTGCTGTGTCACGTCCAGGTTTGCCTGCTGGTGCCTGGCCATGTCTGTCCTGTGCTGTCTCCTCTCTGTCATTCCTGGGATGTCCCAGGTTTTGAGTGGCTCTGTTCCTGCAATGACTGCACAGAGATGCTTCTCACAAGGGCTGGAGACATGCATCAAGGATCTTCCCTGACACGTGTTAGCTTTCTGTACCGGCCTTGGGGCCAGGCTTGCTGTTGCCCTAATTCTCATCTCTCTTGGGCTGTGACTCTCTGGACCAGCTATTGCTTTGTTTGGGCCATTTCAGCAGTGAGGCTCATTGCAGGGACAGCCACTGTCTCACTCCAGAGCCCGCAGTCCTCCTTCAGACTTCTTTTAGGTAGTTTTTGCCCATCAGAAAAATGCCTCTGCAGGCTCCAGCACTGGAGGGCCCCTGCCCTAAATCAGAGGAGGAGATGTTGAAAACAGGGGGACAGCCTTGCTTCCTATGGCTCCTGGGCACCTATCTTGCTGTAGGAGGTGACTCCTATCTCTCCCTTCCCTCATTAGCAGGAGTAGAGAGTAGGCAAGCCAGAGAGAGCGTGGGAGCTGGAGCAATACCTTTGCTGTGCTTAGAGGCAGATCTCTGCAGCTCCCTATTTTTAACCTTGCCCTGGGGCAGGCCTGGCTCTGTTGGTTCTGTGGCTGGGTGACTCGGGGAGGCTTTATGACCAGGGGAGATGGTTTAGATGTTGGATTGGGGCTGACCCATGTGACGGATGAAAGTGATACCGAGCGAGAGCCGCGGGTGGAGCATGCTCTGATACGTGCACTCAGATACGTGCCAGTGTTTATAGAGAGCTGGTGGGGTGGGTGCAGCTGCAGAGCAAACATCCTTCCGTGCCCCAGCACTGGGAATCCCAGCTTGGCACTGCACGGGTGCCTGGTGGGCTGTGGGACTGGGTGCTTGCACTTCGCATCCTGCTCTTTCTGTAGCTTTACATGGGATTTTGTGAAGTCTTTTCTCTTCTTTCCCTGCCTCAAAAAAAACCAAAAGGCTTTCGAGTTCCCCTGCTGCTGCAGCTTTGTTATCTGCTAAATCTTGTTGCGTCTGCTTTTAAGACAGCTTCCTCAATAACCCCCCTCCAAGCTCCAGATCCAGATCCCAGCACAACTGGGCTTTGGGGTGGTTTTCTGGTTACCTTCCCCCAGGCTGTCTCCTCTGCACCCATTTCAAGCCAAGCTATTCCAGTAACTACTGACTGCCTGAATTTGGAAAGCGTTCCGTGAATCCCTGTGTGTGCGACCAGGAGCTTGCCTCCTGCCCAGGATTGTGACAAGGATGAGTGCCAAGTGCTAGGAGAAAAAGAAAACCTCTATTTTTGCTTTGTCTGTACTTGTTTTATCTCTTCACGAACAGCCCTTAATGTAGAACAACCTGGATCTCAGTCGTTGGCCTGCTATGTGAGAGAAACTGGGTAAACCTGTGAAGTTTTATGCTTCTTGCTGATTTCAGGCTGACTTTTCTTGAAAGGCAGCTCAAGTCCTCCAGCATCCTCTATGGGTTAACTTGGGGTTTGCCTTTGTTTCACAAGAGCTTGCTCAGATATCATCCTTCTGCTTTTAACATACACAAGTAGATAACGCTTAGGTGGTGCTTCCTTTTAATGACGGCCTAGCTCTTGGTGTGTGTTTTACAAGTGCTAATCTTGGTTAAAGAGATAAACAGCTGTAGTAGGAATTCCTATAGCATGAAGACCATTGCAGCTTGTCTTACATGAGCAATACTAGCCAAAATGCTCATCAAAATTAAGAGCTAAGACATACGAGGCAGAAGTTCTTCCCTGTGAGGGTGGTGAGGCACTGGCACAGGGTGCCCAGAGAAATGGTAAATGCTCCATCCCTGGCAGTGTTCAAGGCCAGGTTGGACAGAGCCTTGGGTGACATGGTCTAGGGTGAGGTGTCCTTGCCCATGGCAGGAATTGGAACTGGATGATCTTAAGGTCCTTTCCAACCCAAACCATTCTATGATTCTCCAGATGGATGGGTGTGTAACTGCATTTTGATCTAAGATGATGCCCAAGAGGCTGTTTAACAGGTGAAGAATGTCAAAAGATAGACACGTCAATGGCTGTGTGGTGACTAGATCAGGTTTTGGACTTCAGAGATATTTGGACAAAGCCCTCAGGTTTTGACTCGGTAGTTAGTTATTTTCATCTTTTCAAATGTGAGATATCAACTCAGAAGAGCTGGAATACTCTGACAGGAACAGCAGCTTCCTCTATTGTTTGTTTGAGGCAGAAAAGTTCAGCTAACAAATGCAGAGCACAGCATGAACCAATATTGTGTATCTTCTTATTGTGGCACTCTGATTCATCAGAATCATCATCTGCTTTCACTGCAGAGAGAATGAAACAGCAGGTACATGCACAGGAAGTATTTTAACAGGGTGAGAGCACAATATAGATCTAAAAAGGAGCTTTGGAAATAAGGGCCAAACATTAATGGGAATTACTTGATTGCTGGTGTTTGAGCGAAGAGCAGGCTGGTGGAGTGGCTCAGGACTTGAGCTCAATGCTTGGTTCAGCTCCAAAAGCCTGCCCTGGGTTTCGTCCTGTCATGTGGCATTGTGCTGAGCTCCAGCAGGCTGAATATCCTCTGCTGATTGTCCTCCTATGTGGCTGAAGGTCCTCTGCTCTGACAGCAGCTGCAGGTGCTGGCCTGGGGACATCACGCTCTCTATGGCTGCTGAGCCCTGTGGACATCAGCCTGCTGGAAAAAGGTTAGGAACTGTGTGAGCACAAGGCCCTGCTTTCGAGAGTGAGCTGGGGAGGTTGCAGCATAGGAGGAATCCCCTAGGATAAAGCTCGCTGTGAGCAAGCGTGTCCTGCCTGTCATGTGCTGGCTGGCTGTGTGATGGATTTCTGTTGGAGAGGCCATGCTGGGACTGCTGAAGTGGCTGCTGGAGCACGCAGGCAGCCGGACTAGATGGAGGTTTGGGATTTGGGATTGCCCGTGGGAGCCCTGCTCACGGGTTCCTGTTGGAATTACTGCCCTGCTGGCGTCTACAATGTTTAAATACCAGGCTTAACTGGAAGTGGTTCACTGCAGCCAAAAAGGACTGTGGTTGTATCTGTTAGCTTAAACTGATAAAATATATCCTGATTCACCCAACTGACCCTTAGTAACTGTTCTGTTGGGTGAGGAGCTCCATCCCTGGCACTGTCAGCAGTACATTGCTGCATAGTAAAACCTCTGTGCTGTGCTAGGTGGGGACACTGATATCAATGTAAAAATGTATCCCCTTTCTTTACTGACTGAAACCAGGAGGCACTGTGAAGTGTTTCACTGCTGTAGGTGTGACTGCGCCGAATGGTTCTGATCACACAACTGTGTTTATTAAAGGATCACACTTCTTCCATGGCACAACTTCATTTTCAAGAGCACAGGAGTTTGCACAGAGCAGACAGATGGCCTCAAATGAGCTTCTGCTGCAAATGGCTTCTTGGGTCTTAGGTACAAGGCATGATTCAAACCTGACTGCTGGAGGTGCCAGGAAAAAGGATGAGAGCCGCCAGTGCTGCAGTCTGTTGCCCAGCTTATTCCCAAAATCAGGCTCCGGCTACTGAGAGCTGACAGCGGGGTTCAGAGATGAGAAATGGTCAGAAAATAACACAGTCTGTGCAGGTCTTTGCTCTGAACAACGTCCAAGCTGCAGAAGAGTCAGCATCGGCCCTCTGCAAATGCTGCTCTATGGTCCCAAAAGATGTGGGTCACACACAGTATATATGATTAACCCTCCCTGTTAAAGCATGAATCTTCAGCAAAGGATAATTACTTTAATTAGTTCCCAGGACTATCTGTGAGAGATGCTTACCCTCCTCCCCTGGAGAGTGGATCTCTAAAGGATCTACCTGAAGTGGGTTAGGAGGTAGTTGTGTCCCCACAGCACAGTACAACGCTAAAAGGAATGTGACAGGAACAGCTAAGGGCCAGGAAAGGTCAAAATCTGCCGCAGGGTGTGAGCTCAGCCTGTGCTGTTTGATACTCCGCTCAGTTTAATGATTCTAAGTTTCTTCCTTTGTTACATTGAAGTATTTAAGCGCTGGCCCTTTGCTTTTTGTGCTTTGTTACAATACAGCGAGTGAATACAACACCTCAGGCCTGACTTTCTCCTGATGCCCAGGTCAGCCTTGGGAGAAACAAGCAGCTCACCCTTTTCTTGCACACTCTTTATTTCTGCTTCTTATCAAAAAATAAGCTCATTTGAGCGTATCTTTGTACACACACCTTGGGAATAACCACTTCTACAGCTTATCTTCCATATTCCTTAACAAAAGGCAACTCGGGCTGCTTCTCGCTGCTCACACCGGCCTGCCTTGAAAGGAAAGAGCTATTCCAAGCAGTTCTTTACCCAGTTCCTCGTGCCTTCCCCCTGCACTGAACTCCTCAGACAGCTCCCGGAACGTGACACAGATGCGGCGGC